TAGAACTATATAGGGACAAGGAGGGAATATGATTCCTAACCTTAAACTGAACACTAAACCCTAAACCCCGAAACCCCTAAACCCTTAAACCCTAAACACCAATTCTTCAGAGCCCTATGTTACCCCAAGGATCCCAAAAAAAAAGCTTACCCGGAGAACAGTTGAACCCCAAGGGGTCTCCGACATGCTGATGTTCAGGGGTGAAACATCAAAAAAATGATAGACATCAACAACTATTTGGCCATGCGGCCATCAAAAAAAATGCGAAACATCACAAAAAAAATCAAGGTCGCGGCAGCAATGCGCACCAGCCGCAACAAGCACGGCAGGCCAAAAACCAGCAGCAGCATCAGCACCACCAGCGCCAGCATTGCCGGCGACGAACGACGGCACTCTCGCAGCAACGAGCGTTTGAGTGAAGTGCAGCAGCTCAGGGCCCGATGGCCCACGCCACGGTAGCATCTTCGCGGCCAGATGAGGTGTGAAGCTGTGAGCCTCAGGAGTCTCGTCAACTGATGCTTGCAGCAGCTTGCGTTGACATCGAGAGCCTCTGCCATGTACGATCATCTCGTTGATGCTCCGCATAGCGCAGGTCGTGCATGGCCCAGGATAAGGTGTCTTTCCCCGTACCATCCGATCATCCCATTTCTCACTCTTTTTGAAACTGGGCGTTTGATTTTAATTTCTAGGGCTCTGATTTTGGGTTTGGGGTTTCTTGGGATGTGATTTTAGGGTTTAGGGTTTGAGGTTTTGATTTTGGGGTTTAGGGTTTAAGGCTTGATTTTAGGGTTTAGGGTTCTGATTTTTGGGTTTAGGGCTCTGATTTACGGGTTTACGGTTTTGACTTTAGGATTTAGGGTTTAGGGGTTGTTGAGGGTCCGGGTTAGGATCCACTCCGTGATTAACCTACATGCATATATATCTCTGTATATACACACATACACTTACATATTATATATATATATATATACACACACACCTATACAAGTCTGCGCAAAATGCATTCATCCATCGACATCAAAAAACCCCAGACTGGGCGTTAAGCCTTCAAGTCTGTCACCCTATACTCTCAGCCGGCTACAAATCCGACCCCTTCTCTCCCTAAACCCAAAACCCCTAAACCATAAACCCTAAACCCTTAACCCTAAACCCCAAACCCTAAACTCTTCTCTCAAGGGAACCGAGGATTCAGGGTTTAGGGTTTAGCCCCCCGAAATCGAAGAAGCCCTCAAATGGGTCCCGGTAGTCGCCACTGTTCTCCCGGTTGTTGGGGGTGGGCGCCATGAGAGGCAGGAAGGAGCTCTGCACATCGCCTTAACCAGGGATGTAGGGTTCTAATAACTTTTGGGGTGTCAGATTTGTGGGTTTTAGGGTTTCAGGGTTTAAGGAGTTAGGATACTTGAGGTTTGGGTTTCGTCGTCTTAGGCAGGGCTTAGGGGGCCTGAATCGTACGTTGCTGAATGGGATTTGTGGGTGTGATGTGGTTTACGCGGTTTAACTAGGCCCTAAGCTAAACTTTAAATCATGCTAAATCTATTCCCTGGAAGGCTTTGAAAGCAGGCCTTGGAAGCACACAGGTTCTAAATAGACCCGAAGCCTGAAACCCAACCTTATTCACTTTCGGTGGTGCAGAGTGCAGAGTATCTCAGGTGCTCGTCAGATCGACCGATTACCCTTCAAGCGCTCTTCAACATTGTTTAGCAGGTTGAGGGCTCATGCAAGCAAAGCATGTTCAGGGCCGAGGGGGTTTCAGGCTGTGTGTTTAGGGTTCACCGGAAGGCTCCTAAGTAGTTCCTTATGGTTTATATTTAGACTCCTATGAGGTAATCCCAAAAAAGGAACTACTTATTGGCCTATGGGTAGATTTAAGCCTGTTTAGACTGATGGTTTTGACCCTTACCAGGACCATGAGCCAAGTTTGCCGTCCTGGCGTTTTCCGAAGCCTGGCTACACCCTAAACCCTAAACCCTACACTGCACATTACCTCGTCGGGCTGCGAATGGCCATATCCAGCGCGGCGCGATAGAGCCCACCAGCGTCCTGCACACATCCTACCCTGCGCATGCTAAACCTACATATAGGGCTCATCATCATAAGATGCACTCTAGGTGTATATTGTGTAGAAAGAGTGTATTCAAGGCTGCTTAAGACGATAGGGTGTAGAGCTTGGGGCTCGGAGCTGGGGCTTGTAGTGTTGATAGGGGCTGTAGATTTGCAGGAATGGAAACCGGATCTGAGTGTACACCGGGGTCACCACAAACAACCTTAACAACCTTAACGAATGTTCGCTTCTGCTCCTTCTAACTATTATCTAACTATTGGGAAGTTTGCGAAAGAGGGCAATATGGATCCTCGTGTAGTGCCCATATTGCCCTCACTATGATATACCTCGCCGCTTCAGTCCAGCTAACCAGGTTCATGCAGCATGGTAAAAAAAAACTTTAATCATCGAGAATCATTTCTTGGGGCCAAGCGCGTCTCGATCGTCCTGCTGATTTTCGCCCGCAACTTCAGCCCCAGAACGTTGCATGGTATGCTGAAACCACCGAGGGCGAAACAAGGAACATAACAAACACATAAATGTACACAGACCCAAACCCCTAAACCCACCATAAACCCAAAGAACAGGGGCTTCGGGCTATGCCGTCTCCTCGCATGAGGCGTGTGGGCAGTAAACCCCATGTATCAAATCAGAATGGAGCCCTCAATCCCCGAAGCTCCCTTCTAGCTTTAGGGCTGAGGGTTTATAGGGTTTAGGGTTCAGCGTAAATAGGGTTTAGGGTTTAGGGTGAATTTATAGGGCTTAGGGTTTAGGGTTTAGGGTGCCGATATTTCCTTTGCAAGACTCTTGCTATGAATAACACTCGCAAAACCTGTATAAACAGTCCTGAGAACATATACAGCTGAAGGGGACCAACCTACAAACAACAAAAGCAAACAACTGGAACGCATATGAATTTGAACTCTGAAACATCCATATCTGACCCGAAAAGTCCTATAAGTCTATAAGTGCGGTTCTCTAGTTCTCTAAATCAGGGCCCCTGTTTTTAGGCCCCAAATACAGCGAACTACGGCCTCAATCCCAAACCCTAGCCGAAACCCTAAACCCTAAACCCTAAACCCTAAACCCTAGCCGAAGCTCCCGGAAGAACTTGCCTCGCCACCCTCGCCCTCAAACTCCACGGAGAAGGCGAAGTCGCCGCGCCTTCGGCGATTGGGCTTCAGGTTGAAGAATCCCTAACCCCCCAGGTACCCACTATATAGGGTACTAGAGCCCCTAGGGCCCTATATAGTAGGTACCTGGGGGGTTAGGGAATGACTGCTTTTAAGGGAGCTGGGGGTTTAGGGTTTAGGGTTTAGGGGTTTGGGTTCAGGGTTTAGGGTTTAGGGATTTTAGGATTTGCAGAGAGCCCAGTACCCCTTAAATGAGGAAGATACCTTAAATTATAGGGGCCTTAACTTAATCTTATGATTTAAAGTAGATTCCCTAATCAAGGGGTATTGGGCTCTCTGGGGACTGCGTTTAACGGAGCTGGGGGTTTAAGGGTTGCGGGTTTAGGGTTTAGGGATTTGGGTTCAGGGTTTAGGGGTTTCGGGTTTAGGGATTGAGTAGGGTTTTGGGGGTTTGGGTCGTGCATTATGCGCTTGTTGCCATCATCGTGCCGTTGCTGGTATTTTGTGGGTTGGGTTCCTTTGTCAGTTTAAGGTCTACTTGACGTTTGATTGTTGCATTGAATTGTGTTTGGGGTTTGGGGGTTTAATATCTTGTTGGCGTAGTGTTTTGGGCAGACTGTTGTGGGTTAGTACGGTTGATGATATGAATCCTGCAGGACCTTAAGGACCCTAAACTATGGGAATTTTGGTATATTCCTTATTATGGGGTGATGCAGGATTTATATCATCGACCGTATCACTAGGTACCTAGATCGGGATCCTTCCAAAAAGCTGCCATACTCTGTTGGTGTTGCATCCCGAACGATTGGAGCTCCAGGAAACCCTAAACCTTAAGCCCTAAACCGTATGTTTGTTACGGCCTACGTGATTGGGACTCGGTAACGGCAGAGAGGGTTGGCCGAAAAAACGAACCCCTGTGTCTTGAGGCCCAAAAAAACCTGAAGCAACTCGCAGAAAGCATCAAGAAAGCCGAAGGGAACCGGTAAAGCAACCCCCCTGAAATGCTAAAATCTAAAGACCCGAACGCCCTATAGAACCCTGAACCCTAAAACCCTACACCCTAAGCATTGAAGGAAACTACAGATGGGGAGTTTAGGGTAAAAAGGGCTTCTATAAGGCTTCTATAAGGTATATAGACCTTCTATAAGGCTTCCATAACGGCAACTACCCACCTGAAGATGTCCTAGAAAGAAACCCTGAAACCCGAAGGATCCCTCAACTCCAAATCCGCAGAGCCTTGACCAGCCTTGAGTCTCAACTCTAAACCCCAAACCCTAAAACTCGAAACTCTAAGCCCAAAACCTTAAACCCTAAACTCGAAACCCTTAACCTCGAACCCTAAACCCTAAACCCTAAACCCAAAACCCCAAAACCTCCAAGAAGAAGCTCCAAAAAAGGCAAGTCACGGAAGCCGGAAGCTCCATGGGCCTTTAGGGCTTTTCGGGGTTTAGGGTTCAGGGTTTAGGGTTTAAGGCTTAAGGGTTTAGGGTTTAGGGCTTTAGGGCTTTTAGGGTTTAGGGTTTAGGGTTTCGGGTTTTAGGCAATTCCGGCGAGGTAGAATCCGGTACGAATACGTGAGACTACCGCCTGACAGGTGCATGCGCTTGCAAGAAAACAGGCTAGACACTAAAAAACTACGGCTCAGAATTCATCCATCACAGATCTCATGAATAAGGCAGCATTGGTACGGCAGGTTGCATCCCGTTGTAAAGCAGACTTGATC